AGAGAAGAGAAGAGAAGAGAAGAGAAGAGAAGAGAAGAGAAGAGAAGGGTCCCATGGCCCCCAGGCCACCCTGCAGTGTGGGAGCAGCTCGCAGCATCCAGCACCGGCCACCTGGGTGCACGTCGAGAGGCTGCATACGGTTGTGCCGTGCCCGGCAGCCCATCCTCACCCAGGGAAGGGGTGGCAGCTGCGCGAGGACACGCCGAGAGCTCAGCCCCTACTCGCGGACACGGCCGCCCCGTCGGGCTGCCCGGAGCGGGCAGCAGAGCCCGGCCGCAGTTTCCCCGACGTCTCCGCAGCCCCAGCCAGGAGGCAGCGGCAGCCCCGAAGGGGCATTTCGTCGTGGCAAAGCAAACGAAATCCCAAATCCCCGACCGTCCATCGCCCTTCCAAACTCCCCCCGGCCAGGCCCGGACCCCACGGAGCGGCGACCCCCGGGCCCCGTCCCCGCCGCGCCCACGCCGGGAGCGCCGCGGGTTTCGGGAGAGGCGTTTTCCGTCAGGGCCGCGCCGTCGGGTCGCGGGTACTTACGGGCGAGGGCCGCGGAGGAGCTGCTGCGGCCGTGCCCCGGGGCGGCCGGGCTTAAGAGCCCGTCGGCGGCCGCGGGACAATGCCGGGAGGAGGGGGCCGGGGCCGGGAGGCGGCGGGAGGCGGGGGCGCTGCCCGGCGGCGGGGAGGGGACGGGGCCGCCCGCCGCCGCTGTCCCCCTCCGGGCCGTCGCTCCGCCCCTCGGTGTCTGGCGTAAAGCTGGCGCCGGGCTAAAAGAAACGGCGAGCTACGAGCGCCCAGGGGCTGGTAGCCGCCAGCGCACGGCTCGCCGGTGGCGGCGGGAGCGGAGGGCCAGGCCCGCCCCGCCATGTCGCTGAGCCCCAAGCACACGACGCCCTTCTCCGTCACCGACATCCTCAGCCCCATGGAGGAGAGCTACAAGAAGTTCGGCGGTATGGACGGGGCGGCCGGGCTGGGGCCCTACAGGCAGCCCGCGGTGCCCGGCGCCGCAGCGGCCGCCGTCCCGCAGCACGTCGTGGCGGGCCCCGCCGGGGCGGCCGCCTACCACATGCCGCACGGCGTCTCCCAGTTCCCGCACGGCGCCGTCGGGGGGTACTGCGGCGGCGGGCTGGGCAACGTGGGCGAGCTGCCCGCCTACCCCGACGGCATGAGGAGCGGCGCGGCGGCGGGCGGCGGCTGGTACGGGGCCGGCGGAGACCCGCGTTACCCCGGCAGTAAGTGCGGGCGCGGGGCGAGGGGCGGCGGGCGGCGGGATGGGGCGGCCGCGTTCCGACGGGGCGGCCCCGGCTCTGAGCCGCGCGTCCCGCTCAGTCTCCAGGTTCGTGGGCCCGGCGGCGGGGATGAACGTGGCCGGGATGGGCGGCCTGAGCGGCCTCGGCGAGGGAGCCAAGGGCATCGTGCCGCTGCACGCGGCCCCGCGGAGGAAGAGGCGAGTGCTCTTCTCGCAGGCGCAGGTCTACGAGCTGGAGCGGCGCTTCAAGCAGCAGAAGTACCTGTCGGCGCCGGAGCGGGAGCACCTGGCCAGCCTCATCCACCTCACGCCCACCCAGGTGAAGATCTGGTTCCAGAACCACCGCTACAAGATGAAGCGGCAGGCCAAGGACAAGGCGGCCGCCCAGCAGCTGCACCCCGACGGCTCCGGCGGCCTCTGCCAGCAGCCCTCGCCCCGCCGCGTCGCCGTGCCCGTGCTGGTAAAGGACGGCAAGCCCTGCCCGCCGCCGGGCAACGGCACCCCGGCCCCCGGGCAGCCCGCGGCCCCCAGCGGCCCTGGGGGCTCTCTGCCCGCCTCCCACCCTCACCCCGGCTCGCTGGGGCAGGCGGCGGACCTGGAGGAGCTGGCGCCCAGCCCGCCGCCGCTGCACGGCCAGGTGCCCCCCCTGGCCCCCATGGACTCGGCCGGCGTCGATTACAACGGCGGCATGGTCAGCCCCAACCTGCTCTACGGCAGGACGTGGTAATCCGACGGGGCGGGCGGCTCGGCGTGTCCGCACCCAGCCCGGCCCCGCCGTCCCGCGGAGCCCGAGAGCCGCCGTGCGCGTACCTTGCGGCCCCGCTGAGCGCGAACAATAAACCTTCTGAAGTGCAACTTAGCCCGGCAGAATTAATTTTAGAAGGGTGCCCCCGAAGTGCGATTTCATTATCGGTTGATTGGAGGGAAATTGAGTTGTAACCGGAGGTCGAGGAGGCGGCGAGCGGTGCGGGCGGGAGCGGCCGCTGCCTTCCGCAGGACGGGGAGCGCCGGCAGCGCCGAGAGGACGCGGAGACTTTCCGGAGAAGCTCGTCGGCTTCGACGCTCGCATTCCAGGGGGAAAAAGAGCCGCGTTCGTTGTTCTGAATTACGGCTTACGAAATTAACGTTCGCGCATGGACAGAAAGCCCCCCGACGGCAGCGGGCAGACCCCTCCGGGCCGCCTCGGGGCTGCGAACGGCGGGCGGGCGGGGAGCGCCGCGGGTCCCGGTGTGCGAGCCGCTTTCTTCTTCTAATTTTCTTTTTTTTTATTGTCGCTTGTTTGTTTGCTTTGTTTCCCCATCCCTTTATTTTTACTCCTTTTCCCCTGCATTTTTTTGTTTTTTCCTTTTACTTTTCCAGGGTTTTTTTTGTTTGTTTTTTTTTCGTCTTTTTTTTTTCCGTTTTTTTTTTTTTCCTCCCGGTTTTTTTCTATTTCTTTCTATTTCTTTCTTCGATTTCTTTCTATTTATTTATTTATTTCTCCGTTCTCTTTTTCTTTCTTTCTTCTTTTTTTTTTTTTTTTTTTTTTTTTAACAATAAAGACAAACGTTGTTCTGAACCCTCGCTGCTTCCTTCCCGCTCTGTGCCCGCGGCCGCCGCCTCCCTCCTACAAAACTGCGCTGGGATTTCGTTCCGTGACGCTACCTTGTTCTGCTGTTGGAACGGTTTTGGGGGTGGAATTGATTTAGGACTCCCGCTCCCCTGCAGCACGCAGGAGCAAAGGGGATGCTGTGCCCATGCAGACTCCCATGCCGCTCTCTGCCCGGCTCCGAGGGGGAATGCCAGCTTTGAGAAGCGTGGCTGCCAGCCTTGGGGGCAAAGAGCTGGACAGGGGGATGCTGCTCCCAAAGGAGCTCCCTTTCACCCTAAGCTTCCTCCCCTTACCCCAGAAATGAGTGAGGGACAAGGGCACGCCTGCACCTCGAGTTCAAGCCCAGGAGCGGCGTCAGTAGGGCAAGCAGCAGCTCCTTCCACCAGCCTCCCTCCCACCACTGCACTTGCACAAAAACCCAAACTTGCTGGCTTTGTTCTGCTAAAAAAATTACTTTTGGAGACCAATGTATTTTTCTGGAAGTGGGAGAAGGGCACGGGGGAACGCTGACAGCTTTTGTCAACCCCAGGTAGTACAGCAATTGCATTGCAACGAAAGATACTACACCAATCTCCATCACTTGAAAATAACACAGTTTCACCCTCGAAGGTCAGAGGGCTGGAGGCTTTTGCCCCATTGCTGGTGATTAAGGTGTGTGCCTAAACAGAGACACTCACAGGAGATGGCCGAAGCAATGCTGGCTCTCACAGCTGTGTGTGCAAACCTCAGGAGCACGAGTAAGAGGTGCTACAGCAGCTTTTACCTGGATGCTCCAAGGCAGCAGAAACAGGCTCAGGTTTTGGTTAAACAAAGCTTTGAAATGTTAGGGTAGAGGCTGTGTGGAACTAGTGCTGCAGTAATGAATATCCACTGTGTGCATACAGAAATACAAAGGGGAGAAATAAAGCACGGGGTAGCGCTCCAAATTTCAAAAGCCACTTTATAAAGCAAATAAAAATATTTACTGATTTGGTACACTCACATGGAAAACCCCTAGAAAGAGTACTAAAAATGAATGGAAACTCCATACAGGGCAGCTATTTTAAATTATATATCAAAACAGACTGGTACGGCTTCCGTGCTTGTTCGTGTTACAAAAACCAAGTCAAAAAACAGGCAACAAGCTGTAGAAGTGGAAATGTTCTGCTTCAGAGTCCAAAAATCTCCTGCTTTCCTCTATAAGAAATCCAAAGCATCATCAGAGCAGCACTGCTGGATGCGTCCTTAACCCCGGTGCGCTGCGTGCTGCCCGCTGCGTCCTCGCCGAGTTCATCAAATCTGATTTCTGTGCATTCTTTACAACTCCGTGTCTGTTTTCAGGCTCTTGTGTGTGAAGTAGAGGGTGGCTGCAGCTCGCATTGACAGGCGCTGCGCGGCACAGCTTGGGGATGCCATGAGGACAAAACAGCTCTCCCACCTCGGCTCACGGCTTTGCAGATCGGGGTGAACTCGTGGTTCGCAGCGGCAAAACATAATGGGTTCGGTAAGAAATGTACACATGTCAAACAAGCAGAGTTTAAAATCTACAGGGAGGTTGCTGCACAATTTCATTTCTTCCCCCTCCCTCCCCAGGTTAATAAAAACAAAACCGAAACCCGGACGTTTTGTGGGCTTGGGAGAGCAGAGCTAATTCCAGCTGTATCTTCCCGAGGGTGGGGGCAGCAGGTAGGGCCTCCCGGGGCCGTATGCCTACAAACAAACAAAAGCAAGCATTTATTTTTTGGATTAACAGCACAGCAAACAAGTTAGCGGGGCTCCAGGCGCCCCTACAGCAATGAAACAATGCATCCTCAGCACAGAAAGGCACCGCGCCGCAGCCGCTCTCAGCACAGCCTCCGCTCAAGGAGGGCAGATCCACACAGCATCCGTGCCCCAGCAGAAGCAATGCTGCTCAATAAATGGCTCCTTTTCTGCTTGAGCCGTATGTGAGCTGAAGCTAAAGAGAGTCAGCCGTTGGTAGTGAGGGACAACTGAAAACCAAAAATGAAAACCGTTTGGTTTTGTTACAGAAGCGTTTTTCAGCACTTGTGCGCTTTTAATACCAGGCAAAGCATTCCAAAATCTCACGCTGAGGCTCAGCACAAATGAAGGCATTTCTGTCTTTGAGATCAAGCCTTCTATGCAGTACGTAAGGAAAGAAAAAAAAAAGCTGCTGGGGAAAAAAAAAAAGAAAAAAAAGGTAAAAAAAGGTTAAAGTGTCCTTGAAGCATTTCAAACGATTTAAAATCCTGATGCGCTGCAGAGCCCACAAAGTTCATTCTGTTGGCAGCCGTGGGGTTTTTGTTGGCTTTTCCTGGGGGAGGGAAGGGGGACCAAGGGCTGATGAAGAGGCTTCGTTTTGTTCTTTAAAAGAGAAAAACCATCTTTACCCGGGAACGGAGATAGCTGCTGGAACTGAAAAGGCAGAGGGCTTCGCTCCACGTGTTTGTGGCAGGCAAGCAAATAGATTTGAACAGAAAACATTTACACCCTGTTTTTGAAGCGGGATCTGAAGAGAGATGTGCAGAACGTGCTGTTTTAGGAAGATCTGGGGTTTGTTTTTAATCGCAGTCAATGCAAAACCCCAACAATTAAACCAGCTGAGTTGCCTGCAACCCCTGAGAAATCCTTCCAGTCGCACAAAGAGCAGAAAGCTCTGTCTGTGTGCCCAGGCATGGCTCAGGAGGGCTCTTAACAGCTACACAAGGCATTTATCTGGACGTTCAGTTACGTATTAGTAAGGCCTGAAATCAGGATGTCAAGCAGCTCCACGACCACATTTACGCTTTATTTCTCTGTGCCAGCTCCGAGGCACAGGGAATGTGCACCACCCCCAAGCAGCCCCTATCCGTGGCAGTTGCATTAATTTTGTAAGCACTTTGCAGCAGCGTGTTTATTAACCTCTTCACGCCATGTTCTGGATGCTGTAAAAAAAGAATTCAGAGGTGAAAGGGACCGAAGATGATTATTTATGCTGCTCTGTGTCACCGCTTCCACTTGAATCCCTTTTCAGGGCTTTAAAGCTTTGAGATGTGCAGGCAGCAATGCTAGATTCAATTACTGGTTTCGCATCCTAAACCTTTTCAGGTAGAGGCTAATTTTACTTCATTGCCATCAGCCCCAAGGAAATAATTACATCTGAAAGTTCATTCAAAAATAATGTAAAAAAAACAACAAAAAAAAAAAAACAAAACTGAAAGGCATGGCTGCCATCCTGCCTCCTATTTCACCACTGGGGCAGCAAGCAGCTGTAGAGCTGCAGAGGTTGTTTATCACTGCACACATAGGTGCCCACAGTGCTCCGAGATCTCAGTTTCAACCTTCCAAACAGGCACTGACCCCCATCCCACCCTGCTCTGAAACAATTCCTGTCCGCTTCTGTGCTGCCTGGTAGTAACTGTTATTCACAAAGACTCAAGGTGGGGAATAAACTAATTGAAGCACTGACTTCTTTCACAAAAATGCAGGATTCAGCTCCTGGACACCATTTCCCCAGCAAGGCTAATGTGATGAAGATGCTGTCTAATTTTGCTTACAGCCAAGCCTGTGCTGGAAGGATTTGCACTGGCCACACCTCCTCTGCATACTCAAAGCCAGAGTGCATGGTATACTTGCTTCACTTTTCCTCATTTCCTGCTGCAATACTAAACACTACAGCTGAATGAGCTGGAGACAGTTCTTCCTCCAGTCTTAAAAGCCTCCTCTGCACTAAAAATGCTTCAGGGTAGGAGATGGGGGGAGGTGTGCAAAGAAGGGAGATCTCACTGCTGCTAACAAGGGTTCAGCCAAACACGAGTTGAAGAGTTGGGAGCAGTGGGGCAGGCTGCTTGTTGGCTATAGATCTTTTCAGCAGCAAGATGTAATCCTGCAGCCCAGGGACAATGCTGAGAACGGTATTAGTGGCTCTCAGGCTGTTTCTGCTGGGCTCCGGTCCTGACAAGCTGAACCAGCGACAGAAGCACATGGCACTCTGCAAAAAGCTTCCCCAGCAAAGGCCAAAGGCTCTTCTGCTACAAACTGGATTTGACAGTACGTGTCTTTATTGTATTAACTGCTTTAGAAAACTCAGAGCTAACGATGTCACAGTGCAAAGTGGTTGCGATGGATTCTGCTACCTGAGTCTCCCAGTCGGAATAGAAAAGAAAAATATGAAGTGG